GGAGCCCTGCGACAGCGCCGAGATGCAGCTGAAGGTGGACTTCTTCCGCAAGCTGGGCTACTCCTCGGAGGAGATCCACGTCGTGCTGCAGAAGCTCGGCCTGAACGCCGACACCAACACGGTGCTGGGGGAGCTGGTGAAGCACGGCCCGGCCGAGCGGGAGAGCGCCGAGGCCCCGCCGGAGGCCAAGGAGGCCCCGCTGGTCCCGCGGGGGGGGGCCGCCAACAAGACCCCCGCCCCGGCGCCGCCCCCCGAGGAGGCGGAGAGCGAGAACCTGAAGCCCATCGTTATCGATGGCAGCAACGTGGCCATGAGGTGCGTTTCGGGGTCTCTGGGTGGGCGCGGCGGTCGCTCCGGGTGCTCGCTGCGGTGCCCCGCTGAGGCGGTGGGTTTGGGTCACCTCTAGCGATGAGGTGTGCCGGGAGCCTGGGGCCTGAGCAGCTCTGGGGGTTTCTCACTGCAGGCAGCTACTGCTGGGTGCCCTGGTAGTGGCTGGTAATATTTTCCAAGGCGCCTCACCAGTATGCGTAGCTGTCACGAGGATGGGTGTCACGCTTGCAGGCGCAGCCTGCCTTGACAGCCTCTCCTGCCCCTGGCCCCTGCCAGCCTGTAACCCGTGGTCACAGGGCTCTGGCAAGAGTGGGCATGCTTCCTGGGAAATAGACACTTCCTTCTGCTTCCTAGCTTAGGAGGAGGATAACTGAAGATACATTGTCCTGTTACCCAATGGCTTTATGTAAGTTTCTGTAGCAGGAAGTTGCTCAATAAATAATTACAGGGTTAATTCAAGAAGGCTTTGTAACATGGAGCTGTATGCTGCGCTGGAGACCAGTCTCCAAATTGTGACTTTTGTATTTTGGTTGAATTTCCATACAGTGTAGAGGACAGATGAGATGTCCAAGGGGCACTAGTATATGGTGTCACCGCAGCAGGGCTGCGACTCATCCCCAGCATCTCGAGGGTTCTGGTGCTGATGGCACAGGTCCTGCTGGGCACTGCAACCAGAGGCAGACTGCAAAGCCTTGGAAGTGCAGGAGCCCAAATATCCATGGGGCACCCAGAATCTCTGGGCTGGGTATTTATTGGCTTGGTATCCCTGGCTTTTGCTCCTGACGGTGGCGAGCGTTGCCTGCCCCCACCCCAACCCCTGGTGGTCCCCTCCCCACTTCTACGCAGCGGGGTCAGGGCTCTGTGAATTTAATGCACCAGGTTTCTGAATTGGGCTGTGTCATTGCAGTTCAAAATCAAGCTGCCTCCGCTGTGGTGTAGCTTAACAGGTCTTGTAGTGTCTGTTTGTGTACATGGACACTTACAAAAAAATAAACCTGGGCGCACACAGAGCTGCTGTGTGTGTTATGGTCAAGGTGAAAGTGCTGAGTGGAGATTTGTTGGCAGGTGTGGTTTTCTGTAAGCCATGGTTGACGGTTCTGAGAACAGGGCTGAGAAAAGATGGGATGCAGTCTGCTGTGCGACCGACCAACAGAGCCTGCAAGTCCCAGGGCAAGTAAGGAATTCTGATGGCAGTTGAGTGGGGCTGGAGAGTAAAAGATGTGAGCTGGGGATCTGCAGGAGAGCAGAGTCCTGTTGTTGCAGCTTTCCAGCAGCTGTGCAGTCACTTGAGGAAAATGGCCCATTGTGAGTCCTGGGCTGATAAGTGTGGCTTTTGCAGTGAAGTTTACCTTAGATAAGTGCTCAGGCTTCAACAACAGAATTGGTTGTGTTTATTGGATGAGGAGCATCTTACCCATGAAAGTTGTTCCAAAAAGCGCAGGAGAGATCACAGCAAGTGTGACTCGGGGCAGGCCAGGCGGGAATAACGCTGCCAATAGGACAGAGTTTGACATGAGAAAAGCAGTCTGGCTTTTTTAAGCAATTTGCTAGAAGGGGAATTCCATTCTGAAACTTCCTGTATTGATGGTGTGATGTTCCCTGCTGATTCATTTGCAATGTGTACAGCGGCCTCCCTGAACAGCTCTTGACAAACATATGCAAATCATAGTGGAAATTAGCTTTTACTTCCTTCTAAGGGAATTTTTTCTTGGCTGCTGCCAAATCAGATCAGCCCAATTAGCTACTTTCTGTAGGTTTGAGATTGGTAGCAGGGACTCAAAAAAAAAAAATCTCTGCTTTTTGCATTTGTATCTGGAAGATTATATTAACCTGTGGCTGTCTGTCTATAGCAGCACCGATCTGACACTGGAGAAAATGTGTAGAGCATCTTCTGATTGCTAATGCTAGCCTTTATGTAATTTAGTGTCTCTTTAGGTGGTAGTTTTGTGGCTAAATGTAGTTCTTTTAGAATAAGTATTTTGGTACAACTCTTCGGTTCTCTTGATAGTTTCAGAGAAGGGTGAGGACAGGGGAAGTAAAGCTTTCCAGTGGTACTGCAGTAACAGTGCTTCCTGGCAAGGCCTCTGCTGGGATGGGAGCTCTTTAGTAATTCCTTTATGGAGGAGTTTACTGGCATGCTGAGTGGTGGTGGCAACTGAAATGTCATTCAGATGTAGTTGGGAAAAGTAAGACTTGGGTTGGGGGTAGTGCCCAGGTGGGGAAAAATCTTACTGAATTAAGAGACCAGTTATCTTCAGTGCAGCCCATTTTATCAGTGTCATCCTGATGTGCAGGCTATTAGATCTCCAGGATGACAAATTGGGCTGTAATACAGAAATGTTGAAAGTTTGCCAGAACCATTATCAACAGAAGAGCTGATTACACTGTAAGGACTGGCACTCATAAAACAGGAGTGGTAGTTTCCTCTGAGAGGTTCTGGAAACTTATTGATGTGACCTAATAAATAATTAAGAAGCAGCTTTTTGTGTTGGTACATAGCATCTGACACCGTGGTCAAACTTTGTTCTCAAACTGCCGAGTGCTGTTAGGACACTCAGCACTGATCCTGTTAACAGAGGTTGTTTTGTGCAAGTAGTGCATTTGGAAGTGACTTTTTGGGCCATAGTATAGTGAAGAAGCATCTTTCCTCAGTGCTGGTGTCCTTGAGTGCATAAAATGTCTTGTCTTCCTCAATTTTACAAGTAAAACACCTAGTGAGGGTGCAGTTTACACTGGCAGAGGTTAGCCACTGGTGCTAGCTGGCAGAACAGGACAAACGGTGTTCAAGATCATATTGTACTCAGGGCTAAAAATAAAGATCTAGAGTCCCGAGTTGGAGCGAAGGCTCTATTTCAGAGCAGCTGCAAGTTACAGCTGCTTTCTCCCTCCTGCTGAGGATTTGGGTAGTTATTGGTACAATAAGGTGCTAAAAGCAACGTTAATTCTGTGAAGATCTTAGTGCTGCTGTTTACAGGAGACTGATGGTGCTACTCTAACACTTCTTTGCTGAAGGTTGTCCAAACTGCTGGATCTGCTAGTATATCGCCTAACTAGCCTGCACCTAACCTCAATATTGAAATTCTCAATTTTCTTCTTTGATGCAGCCATGGAAACAAAGAAGTGTTCTCCTGCCGAGGTATCCTTCTGGCTGTCCAGTGGTTTTGGGACAGGGGACACAAGGATATTACAGTCTTTGTGCCTTCTTGGAGGAAGGAGCAGCCACGACCAGATGTACTTATAACAGGTGTGGAAATATGAAAACCAAAAGTAGCTTTTCAGGCTTACTGCTTTGTCAATTAATGAGCTTGCAAAGTTCTGACTAGTTAGTAATTAACTTATGAATGGAAGACCTGAGTGGTAGGAGATCCAGTAAGCTGAGCTGACCAGTGAGAATTAGTCATTAACTTCTCCCCTAAGCGAGTTCTTGCCTGGATCAGTTGGGATAATTCAGAGAATAAAGAATGCAATACTGTGCTGCTTCCTAACCTCCTCTTTCAGGGACACGTCTTCGTGCTGTGTACTTGACGGTAACACACTTGACACTGTAGACTGTGCAGAACTTCTGCATGCTCAGAGTTAAAGCTTGAGCTTGGTCATTTGCTGAAATTGAGGGGAGTTGGCTCTGAACTTGGAAACAGCTGAGATTTCTAAGTAACTCTGCTCAGAAATCTGTGTGTGTGGTGTGGCACTACAGCAGGCACTAGCCTGCCAGCCTGGAATGCAGATCGCCCTTCGCATGCGAAGGGTTCTGTGGATGGGACGTGCTGTGTTACGGCAGCCTCTGTGGTGTGCTCGGAGTGTTCTCGGGTGTCATGCAGGCGCTGGGGTGAGGAATCCACCTCTGACAGCCTGATGGATGGGAAAAGAAGAGAGATGAGAATACAGGGAGGGCTGTGGAGAGATGAAATGATCTTACATGAATTTTGTCATTTATTTATAATGTTACTTTGTCTGTGCAAAGGCCTTTGGGCTGTGTAAGTGTGTTCACAGTTGTGTTTGTTCTAGACCAGTACATTCTCCGTGACCTTGAAAAGAAGAAAATTCTGGTCTTCACTCCTTCCAGGCGGGTTGGAGGGAAGCGTGTTGTCTGTTACGATGACCGATTCATTGTGAAACTGGCACATGAGTCTGATGGCATTGTGGTTTCTAACGATACTTATCGGGACCTGCAGAACGAACGTCCTGAGTGGAAGAAATTCATTGAGGAGCGTCTGCTGATGTATTCCTTTGTTAACGACAAGTATGTTCCCATTCTTCCTTTGCTTTTAAAAAAGATCCATGTGAACATGCTGTCTTATTTTAATGAAGCAATAGCAAGTGATGCATGAAAAGAGGAAATTGGTGGTACAGAATGAAAAAAAAAATTCTATAGACAGATTTTTTTTTTGTAGATGGAAGTGTGATGGGAAGAACTGCCCAACTGTGGTGAGGTACAAAGACATAAGGAACAAGTCATCCCCATAGCTGTTCAGGGTTTGGAGTTGGGAGCTCTGCTGTAATGGAGTTCCTAGGAGAGCTCCAGGGCTTGATTTCCTCACAGGACAATCATTAGCAGGTCCGGCAGCAGCTACTAGTTCTGGCTGCCAACAGAGCACAAACCTCTTCTGTGCCTGAAGTGAAGTATTTCATGCTGGTCTTTACCAGGTGACAGGAGGGTTCTTTCTGCAGTGAAATGGGAAAGCTCTTAGGGCTCAGATGGCTTTTAATCTTCCATGAAATGGGAGACTTTGAGAAGAAATTAAACTCTGACCCAGGAAAGTGAGCTGCTCCTGATTGAGATTTATTTTTCTTTAGGTTTATGCCTCCAGATGATCCCTTAGGGCGACATGGCCCCAGCCTGGATAACTTTCTCAGAAAGAAACCTGTGGTGCCAGAACACAAGAAACAACAGTGCCCTTACGGTAAGACCTGCCTTCTAAATGTGACGACTGAGCTGTCTGTGCAAGTGTCATTCGTACATTTAGTAAAATCCAGCTGGTCATTCCATGCTCATTCCGTGCTCTGCCTTTCCTTGCAGGGAAGAAATGCACTTACGGAATTAAGTGTAAATTCTACCACCCTGAAAGGATCAATCAGCCCCAGCGCTCATTAGCTGATGAACTCCGAGCCAATGCAAGGTTGTCTCCTACCAGAAGTACCAGTGCCAAGGAGGAGAAAAAGGGCAAGAGAGGTTCCCAGGCAGAGCTCTTGTGCTCTGTGCCCACAGAGAGTGATAAAAGCTCTTTGCAGAAGGTCTCTGCAGAGAGGAAAAGCTTGACCCACAAAGCAAAGCCCAGTGATGTTCCGCTTCAGGTCAAAGGCTGTGTGTCAGGCAGTGTCCCCCCTAACAGTGGGAGCCACAGGTCCTCTGACAGGTACCAGCAGCCTCATATGGACTCTCTGTCTTACATCTCTCAGGAGCATCTCGACTCAGGCATTGGGTCTCTGGAGAACCAATTGTCTGACATGTGGCCTTACAGATCTGCCAGTCACTGTGATCATTCCCATGCTGACCAGGTGGCAGTCTGCACCTGCGGTAGGCAGAGACCTGTCTACCCACATTCACCCAGCTTGGAGCAAAACGGTCTGGTCTCTTACAAGCACGGTTCCCATAAGTCTTCTTCCTCTGGTGCTAGCTTCTTGCAGTATAGCCCTGAGGTACCTCACTCAGGACCGCCTCACTCTTTCTCAGGCTATGGAGTACCCGTACACCCAGCTAATGCTGGGCAGTACAGTCTGCCCAGTGAGTATAACACCCCTCCGCCCCATTCTCGCGAGTACTGGTCTGAACCGTACCAGGTGCCACCTCCTCAAATGAGATCTACCAGTGTGCGAGATCCTCGCTCAGTACAGAGGGCCCCAGGGCCAGCATACGGGGAGTCCTGCCAGTGGGCTGTCTCCGACCAGTTTGCGGAGGAGCGGGCCAACGTGCACGTCAAGCTGTGCGGCATATTCCATCCCCATTTAGTTGATGCTGTGATGAGCCGTTTCCCTCGGCTTCTGGATCCCCAGCGGCTAGCTGCAGAGATACTAACGTACAAGTCTCAGAACCCGGGTATATGAGGCAGATGCCGAGGGCAGCCGGGCATGTGACAAGCTTGAGGGGCAGCATTTGCTCTCTGTAGCTGCCATAGATGCCTTCTGAGGGCTCCTCCTTATTCCTTGGAATTATCAAGCTACAGCTGGAGGCTGGATGCCAGATGTGGTATGCTCACAGCAAATTCAGGCCTAAATGTGACACCGTGCCCCTCTTAACCGAGGTGCAGGCACCCTAGGGTCCCATCTTCCCCAGAGGCTGCTGAAGAGGCTTTGGGTGCTGACCAGGAGGAGAGGCTGCAGCCTCAGAGCAGGATTTTTTTGTTTGGGGTTGCATGGTGAGTCAGGAACACCCTAAATTCCTGCAGTTGTTCAGAACTGAAGGTGACCTTACTCCTCCCATTAGCTGCAGTTTTGAGAAGGCTTCGTGTATTACCAGGCATACGGAGGGAGGACACGGGCGCTTGTGAAAGATGAGGGGATACCACCTGTGCGGTGGTGCGAGGCTTATTTGTGAAGACTGAAATGCATAGTTTAGGCTGTTCTTAGCTCTTAACTAAGCCTCTTTACTAAATCCTTCCATGCAGATCTGTGGAAAATGTTGGATCAGAAATGTAGTACGAAGCTGGGTTTAGTGGACTTCAGTTTGGTTTTATTGGTGCACTTCGTCAGTGATGCCTTCCATACCCCTCCCACTTGAGCTTACCTTCCTGAGACAAGGCAGTTCCCCAATATGTACCACAAGTGCTTCGCGAGCTGCTCCGCTCCCAGAAATCCGAGGAGCCAGGAGTGCAACCCTTTCTCAGGATGAGAGGCCTGGCACTGCGAGCTGTGTTCGGCGTTTGCTGAGCAATGCAGTTGTCAGAACACGTGGGTGACTGTGCTGTTGGTGCTGCTCTGAAACATTGACCTTGCCTGGTAACCTGTCTTGGGCTATCTCTGGACAACACTGACAAGGAGGATTTATGATGCTGTGCCTTTTGTTTTCAGACAGCTGCAGTTTTGAGCATTCAGTAAAACAGCTGTAGTCATGTCTAGACTGCTGCCAATACTCTGAGGATTCCCTAATAGCTTTCTCTGTAAAGCTGTTGCTTCTCTTCCTCCTTACTAGTGTTTTCCTGGCCCTTTCAGCTTTGTCAAACCATAGCAGCGTCCAAAAATTTAGAGTAAGACTTACTTGGTAAGACTGTTCCCCTTTTGTTCCTTCTTACTCTGTAAGGTGTTTTTTACTGTAGATACTGTAACATTTTAAATATGCAAAACCAATTGCTGTAGTAATTGGTTCTGGTCCTGGAATTTCATTGTGCTTAGAATGCGAAGATGTTTCTTGCATTCGCAGGCCAGAAGCAGTTGATTTGTTGATACACATTGTATCTGGGTTTTTTGTTATGTTTTTTAAATACGTCCATCTTGTGGTTGAACCAAGGTTGTTGAGTGGCAAATTAGGAAGGGGAGAGCGGAACGCAGCTGCTCCAGAGAACCCTCTTTGGGGCGGTTTGGCTGTTCCTCCTCTTCCCTCTGGCTGTCCAAGGCGTGACCTACCCAGACTGGCACCATGTGCCGTAGAAACCACAGGGACACAGAAACCTGTATACCTGGTTAATTATGATACATTACAAATTAGTAATGTTTCATGTTAGTAAGCAAAATGCTTCTTAATTTTAAGTAACCTGATACTTTGCATATTTGTAAATTACAGGAAAAATGGGTTTTAATGTTACTGTCCAGCAACTTGCTGCTTGATGCTGTTTTTAATTAGTACTATTCTCGACTCAGCCATTGTGTCACTTGGCGTGGTGTGTTTTGTTTTCCTGGTGGAATGCTGATATATGCTTCTTCTCTTGCAGTCAGAAGATTAACATTTTATACTCACAAGCTGACATTTTACTGAACTTTCTGTGTCATTATGCAGTGTATAGTTTATGTACGGAGTGGAGGCAGCCGTGTGAAACCATGGCAAAGAAAGAACTTGTGTTATAAATAAAAACTGCTGAATTGAATTATTTGGTCTCTGGTGGCTTTTTAGAAGACCATTCAACACTTTGGCTGGCTTTCCAGGAAAGTCAGAGAAGTTACCCTTCTTCCCCAGGTCCCTCTGACAGTCTTAGCTCTCCGTGCGCAGTCCGGTGGCAGTAGCAGCCCGATGGCTGGGTGTTGGTGGGCTTGTTCGTCGGTGCAGTGTGACAGGTCAAAAAAAAATGAAGTTGCTCCAAATGGCTTTGCGGATAACGGCATGTCCCGTGGTTTCCCTTCGTTCGGCATTGCTGGGGAGGCACTGGCAGTCGAGGTGCGGTGAGGCAGCGGCGCGCTGGCGCGTGGCTCTACCTGCGGTGAGAACTGCGGTGGCGGTGGATGTCTCGGGGCTAAAGGAGGGTGCGCTCCTGGTGATGTTGGAGTGAGTGGTGCAGGCTGTGCGTAGTTTTAATGGGCAGTTCCACAGGGCAGTTTGGAGATGAATGCGTGTTTTATACGGCTATACAGCACATCCGTGTCAGATGTGGAGCGTGATCATATGGTAATGTGCGAACTCACGTGTCAAGACGTGGCTCTAAAGCTTTGTTGGGAGCTGGGAAGGAAATGCAATAGGAATACCAATGCTCGCATTTCTGTGTTAGACTTCTCCTCCCACCTGCTACACTGCAGTACAGCATGTTCTTATCTGACTTGTTAAATAACTTTATGGTCTTCATTCAAATTTGTGCTCTTAATTTAATACATGGCAATGACTATTTCTAGTTAATCAAAAACAAGGAAAGCAGGTGCTGCTGGAGATAGTGCTCTGTTTCAAAATAAATCTGAAACCTCACAGTCTGAAAGGTCATTTACTGGCCAGGAGAGGAACCCTCCTACAGATGTCATCTGAAGTGACAGTAAGTGCACGTGATGGCTAGGGTCTTGGTGGGAGGGGGTCAAGTGATGTGTCATGGACTTGATCAGACCTTTTAACCAGGCAAGGACTTTTCTGCTGTTTGTAGTGGGGTCAGTAGTTGGAGAACGCTGCAGGATTTTGAGGCTATTCCTGTAAAATACCTTAATCGATAACTTTGGTTTTGCAGGATGTGTAGGTGGGTGGGTGGGGCGGGGGGGGGAATGTTTGTTTTTACTTCTGCCAAAGCGGGACTGATACAAGTGAAGGAATCTGTGCAGAAGCACAGCGGTTTGTTCCCATAACCAGGACAGGAAGAGCTGGTTGTGACTTGGTTTGGTTGTGATGTTAATGGCCCTTTTCTGTTACAGTCACAGTCCTGGTGGCAGATGGGAGGGTCAGTCCTTAACACCAATCTGGTCACAATTATTTCCACAAACTGCTGCTGTGTGTGCTGCCATGCCACCCGGACAACCCCGACGAGACCCAGCCACTGTTTCTCTGAATTCTCTCACCCTCTCACATGACCGGAGCCTCCCATGTGCTTGAGTGTAAGTACTGCTTTCTCTTGTGCCAGGCACCGCGGTGGGCCCGTCCGCTGTGGTGCCCAGCAGCTCGGAAACGTGGGGAATGCTGATCAGGACTGTCACTGCTGCATATTTTCCCCCCTGCACAGTCATCTGCACTGAGTCAGAGGAGCTGCCTACCTGCACCCCGCGGGCTGCTGCTCTCGGGCAGGCTCTCGCTCTGCTGTTATTGTGGAATTTTCAAGACACATCCTGTGGCTTACCGCTTCCTCGGGGCGCATCGGCGGGGGGACCTGTCATGACTGCTGTGTGTTTGCATTGTGATTCTTACCCACCTAAAATAGGTTAGATCTCCTTGTCAGCTTACTGGTCTATTAAAATTAAGGAGGTCACACGCAGGCACCCTGCTGAAAGTTTCCTGTACTTCAGCGGGGTTGCCCTTCATCCTGCAGGCCTCATGCAGTTGGTAAGGCCTTGTGCTGAGCCCGCAGGAGGCTGGCTCCTCTCTGAGCCACTCTTCCTACCCCAGCAGGGTGAGGGATTGCTGCTGTTCCCTTTGAGAGAGGGAACTCCCAGGCTGAGCTGGAGAGTGGAGTGCAGAGGGCTCCTGAAAAGTGTCAGGGCACAACCATGGGAAAGGAGAGTTGCTGAGATGACCCCAGGCTGGTGGACAGCGGGGCCATCGGGAGCTGGCTGAGTGGCTGCGAGCTCTGCAGAACAAGTCTGGTGAGCCCATCCACCGCTAGATCTTTCCTTCCAAATCAAGCGTGCCATCCTTCACCCTCCACCAGTGGCCAAGTCATTCTCCCATGTTGTCTGCATTGCTTCCTGCTCAAGCCAGATGCTTGCTCTCAGAATGAGGAGATTGCCGGGGCTGCATCCTCCCCAAAAGTGCAAGGCACTGTAAAGGGAATCAAGGAGGGTGTGTTGGGGTAGGAAAAAACTTTGATGTGAAAGTGAGGAGGGTGAGGGTGCTTGTAAAGAGGAATGAGGGGTCCACCAGTGTGTTTTGGGGTAGAGAAGGAGAGCAGTCTCCTCTTTGCCTTCCCGGTTGTGCTAGAAATAGATGGAAAAGGTAACTAAATATCATCAAAGGAAAGGCTTTGCTCCCACTGCACAATGGAAGGATGAACAGGCAGGGGAAGAGCCCTTCTTCAGAAGTCAGTGCTGCAGGATATCTTGACTTTGTACTTCTCTTTTTTTTTTTTTTTTTTTTTACAGTACGTACTCAAAAGAGGGAAGGAAGAAAGGGGAAGCTGTGCTGCGGCAGAGGTCAGGGTAGAGACTGCTGGATTCTTCTCTCTCCTTCCACTGGGCTGGGCGGTGACACAGGAAGGGCCCCAAGCAGCGGCTGCAGCCCCCTGCTCCCAGCCCAGCGGGGATCAAGCACTGGGTGTCTGTGGGGCCACAGCTGCTCCCCGGGGTTTGCTTGCCTCTCCCCTGCGCCAGCTGCCTGATGCCCTTCTTGCTCGCTGAACTTTTGTTTGAGCTCATCTGGTTCCCTCCCTTCGGGGGTTTTCCAGGATGTGGCTAGCTCAGCTCTAACATTTTAAGGCGTTTCCACAGGCAGGAATCTGACCCAAGGCTTCTGTACGGGCCGTGGGAAAGGGGTTGCAATGTAATGGAAGCACATG